CCCCCAGATATGGCTTAACAAATGGCTGTCATATGGAAAGCACTCCAAAGTGGTGGCTATTATGATCATTCTCTCCATGGATTTAGTCTACGAAGAGGGTTCATTAACCCCAAAGAGTCCCCATGAAGGTTCCAGATGTCAGTGGAAACATGTTCCTTACATCTTCTTCAAAACAGTCGGGCACTCAGGGCTTACCTGGAGTGGCAGGTACAGCCTCATTGGAATGTGCACAGAGGCCCAGCTGGGTGTCCTTTTCGGAGCATCTGTGGGGCACAGAAAACTGAATGTGAAGACTATCGGTGTTTGATAAAGATCTTACCCTCCTCCAGGGAAGGGGGAAAAGTCTTGTGAGTAGGGCTTTGGGATACGATAGGCTGTTCCAGATGGGAGATACCAGAAGTATGAGAGGGCAGGACCAGGAAATAAAGAGAAATCCATGTAAGTCACTGTCTTCAAGATGCTATAGCATGTTTAGTTTAAATGTGTTTAAAAATACGTATCCTTTTAAAAGGACTCCTTTCAAGAGGAGAAGCAGGTTTGAGAATGAGCTGGAAGTTTGCTAAAATACTAAGGACGTGGATAGTAGGTTTTGCGAAACTGCCAGGATGAGCTGAAAGAAGCTACCAGCCAAGCAAAGCTGATTAGATAAAGATTATCACGTTTAAATAGACCGAAGAAAAAGAACTGGTTTCCCCCTTCATTTATTTCTTCTTTATTTCTATCTGTATTTCCAGATCATTTTTATAAAGTGTAAATAAAAAATCTACACTTTGTAGAAAAGAATTTCTCTAAATTGAAAAAAATAAATAAATAAATAATAAAAATTAATTTCTCTAAATTGAATGTAACCATATTTTATCAGTTTTAAGATGTGCATTTTTTCTATATTCTGACGTTGCTGAAATAGGAATGTGTCTTACAATCAATGGCATCTCACAGTTGCTGTTGGTAATTTTTTTAGTTTAACCTCTCAAATCAGGAGGCATCTTAAGTTGAGATAGCACCTTCAATTTAATGAAATACAGTACTTTATACTTCACTTGAGACCTGTACATGTTATGCTTGCTTACTGAATGATGTTTGTGTGTGCATATGCATGCACGGATTTGAATGTTACAGGCATTAAAACTAAGGCCACAGCATCCCTGGGCATGTTCCAAGTCATCAATCCACAGTGCAGAGACCACTGTGACTCGGCGATGTCTAAATAAACTGCAGGATCAGACCATATACTAAACCTGTGATGTGAGAGCAAATGTCACAGAAAGAAAGGAAACCATCTGAGTGATTTCTCTAGAAAGCTGCTCTAAAGCTTCTTGCCCTCAAATCACTTGCAATAATCTATAGGCCTAAATATTATCTCCTGTCCTGAAGAGCAGGGACTGGTCGCTAATGATGTGATCTACCTCCTATGTTCCAGAATCAAGCTGGGATTATGGTTTTCCGCTGGCAGGAGATGATTAGAATCAAAGGGCCCTCAATAGCATACGAACCCATTTACCTTCCTTCTACCTCCTCCAGAGATGTGCGGGCCCGAGTGGTAGAAGAACGCAAGGTGGTAGGTAGTGTGTTGGTTAGCACTGGGTTCCTTTCACTCATGCTGGTAGCCCTGGGAGCTGGGGGCACCAGGCCAGGTACTGGAGAGAAAAAGAGGACTGGAATAGGTCACTGAAGCCCCAAGTCTCTACGTATGTCCAAGAATAGCATCAGGAGAAGTTGACAAAGCAATCTTTTAGCTGCACTGATCTTGGGCACCCTCATTAGAGGCCCTTCTCAATACTATAACTAAAAAGGACTTGATTTCCAATATGAATAGCTCTGGATGGGCTAGCTGGCCCACAAAGGCCAGGAAGAGAGAGTAATGCTCAGGCCAGTTCATTCTAGTGAATGCCAGACAAATTTATTACTCCCAGTTGCTCCTCTCTAAGACCCTCTGAGGGGGATCCCACCCAGAAGGACAAAGCTGAGGCTGCTGATCTCCTGTCCTTCGAAGGGCTCTGCTGTTTCAGGGGGCCGTTCAGCCCAGCTTACCAAGGGAGCAGGGCCGGCCGTCAGGCTCATCAGGACAGGCACACACGAAGTCCGAGGCCCTGGCAAAGCAGAGGTGGGTGCAGCCACCGTTGTTCACGCCGCAGGCACTGGTCCCTGGGGAAAGCAGGAGAAAGTTGGTCTGGGCCTAAACTAAGTCTCCCAAATTTGACACTTCCCAGAAAGGAGGAAATCCAGGGCTACCTCATTCCCAGGCACAGAGCAAGAGGTATAACCACGGGGGCTAAACAGGCCTAAGAGCTTGAAATGTGAACCCAAAGGCTCTGCTGTGGCTCTAATTGTCTTGGTCATGAGCCGTCCTTGGGGTGACCACCCCCAATGCCCAGCGATGGAAAGGAAGCTGGCTGGGGCCTAGGAGCCCACCTGTCTGCCGCTGAGGGGAAACCACAATGATGTCCATGAGCCCTTCCACGTTCGCCAGCACCGTCTCCTTATTCCGGCCTGAGTACTTGTCAACGCGCTGGATTGACTTGGTCTGCCAGTCTGTCCAGTAGATCCACCTGTCCTGCTACTCAATAGGGAACCCCCCCAAAAGAGGAAATATTATTCAACAGTCAGACCCCAGCCCAGCTTCCACACCCCCATGTGCGTTCCCTCTGCCGAAATGCTCTCATCTCTAACCCGCCAGGCCACCTCTGTGATCCCCAGGCATGACACTGTCCAGGAGATCTCCCCCAACCTATGTAGCGTTTACCATTCTCTCTCCCAAGCTGTCCTGTGCCCGTCCTCACTTCTACAAGTCAGTGTTGACACTCTATGGTCATTTGTTGACATGTCTGTCTGTCTTGCCAGGTCAAGTTCTTCAAGGACAAGAATGTGTTTCATTCATCTCTCAGTTTCCAACACCTAACACTTAGTACTAGGTTGGCTGCTGGGCAAATAAGTGGGTTCCCATACCTAGCATATAGGAGTAAATTGGAGGGTCCTTCTAAGGTCCCTGCTCCTCGGGGCTCTTCACTCAGAGCCTTGGTAAATCCTCTGGTTAATTCTGTGGGCAGCTGCCTTCTAATGCAGTGATCCTAAGGGTCTCAAACCGGGATGGGGAGCGCCAATGAAGTGGGTTCCCCTCCTGCCCCCGGGGAATACCCCAGAAACCTCCATGGGAAACTTGCAGATTGAAAAACCATACTCAATATTATCCTGTAGTTTTACATTTGGTGTGTATAGGGGAGGAGGGGGAGCCTATCTAGCATAAGTAAAGCCAGACAAAATCTTATTGGCTAGTAGGATATAATGCAGAATACACACAGAGAAGTGAGTGTTTGTCAAAAAGGGACAAAGTTTTTTGAGTGATTGAGAATCCCTGTTTTGGTCCCAGGCTTTGTAGATCTCCTTTTTTCCTTCCCTGAATTATTTTACAGGGTTAGAACTCTCAAAACTGACAACAAGTAATAATTAAAATGATTAGAAATAATAAGCACTGGGTGCCAGAGACTGTGCTAATGCTCATATGTATTTGAGGAGGATACTATTATGAAACTCATTTATTAAACTACATATAGGTAAGTGAAGCTTAGAGAGGCTTAGTATCTTGTTCAAAGTTGCCCGGTTACTTAATGGCACAGACCTGGCACGTTGGAGGTACTCGAACACTTACCGACTGGCTAGCTGCCTCAAAACACTGGATCTCAGCCACTCTACCCTCTTGCCACTAAGTGGGCCGCCTGAACTCAGATGTTGGACTACAGCATTAGGATCAACTGGGGCAGTGGTTAAAATGCATATTCCTGGGCCCAACCCTCATGAAGCAGATTCCTTATATCCAGGAACATGTATTTTAACAAGCTCCACAGCTGATCTACACACCACCCCTTTGAATGCTGGAGCACGGGAGGGGTGGGGCAGGCCCAGCAGGGCACACAGTGGAGACGATTCAGTATACAGGAAAGTGAGCTTCCATAGCACACCTGTTCAGTAGCATGTAGGCCTGAGGTCGAGACTTAGAACTCCAAAGAAACACCCCAGTTAAGGAGGTTTAGTTACCTTTCCTGAGCTAGTACCTGAGTGAGGGCAAAGGGGTGGGACACGTGGCTGACCAACACCTGCCGTAGCTTCCCATTGAGGTCCGCACTTTCAATCCGGTCCAGATGTGCATCTACCCAGTAGATCCTGTGAAGGAAAGGAGCTGAGAGCTGCTCAAAATGCTTGCTAGGGAGCTCAGCCCTCCCTGCTAAGGAGCTGTCTGTCCCTTCCTGAGCTGGGCTAGTGAGAGCTGTGAGCAGTCCAGAAGCACCCTTGCTGAGAGGCCACTGTGGGTCCCAAAGCTGAAGAGGGGGAGTCAGTGACTCGTAAGTGGGGAGGCCAGGGCTGTTCTGAGGAGGGGCAGTCCCTCTAATGACCTCAGAGGAGCCGCTGCCCAGTCTCATCTTCAGCAACTTGATGACTCTTTGATTCCTACCCAAGAGTCTAAGCCCAAACTCCTACGAACACCCTCAAGAGGAGACTTGGTCTACAAGAGCGTCCCTGAGGTTAAAGGAAGGGGCATTCTCTTCTCCATTCCAACTCCGGGGCGGCTTTGATTCCTTTCCCTCCCTCTGAGGACAGAAAGGGGAACTGACTGCTTCAGAGTTCCTTTCCCGCTCTTCTGCCCGTTTGCATTTTTTATCTAGACCAGGACCTGCAGATTCCAATGTCTGAAGGGATCAGTACAGTAAGAAAGGTGAAGAATCAGCCCTTAAATGGATGGGGGTAGTAGGACCTGTGGTCCAGCCAGAGGACATGCTCTGCTAAATACACTCAAAACTGGAAAAACCAGATAGATAAAACCCACCTGAGAGTTGAGGGCTGGATTCAGCAACCCCAGCTCTAAGAATATGTTTGCTCAGCCTCACTGCTCTCTCTTCCCCACCTACCAACAGCCTCCCATCTTTTTGTTTTCACTACATCAATTTCAAGCATCCTCTCCTCTGCCCACCTATTTCCAGGGGGCTGTTTGGGACAGGATTCCCACCTGCGGGTATCGTAGTCCAGGGTAAGGCCATTGGGCCAACCCAGGTCTGTGTTGATGAGGACCTTCCTCTCAGAGCCGTCCAGGTTCGCCCGCTCGATCTTGGCAATGTGGCCCCAGTCTGTCCAGAAGAGGTACCTGAGACACAAGAGTGACATCATCACATTGATTGATAGGCATCCTCCAAGGGCCTCTTCCCCAGGCTTCTTCCCTGGGTCTCTCTTCTGCTGGCCATAAACTTACCCCTTCCTGGGGAAAACGGCAATGGCCCGAGGCTCATCCAGGCTGTTGTTGACCAGCACTTTGCGGCAGGAACCATCTAGCCTTGATGCTTCAATGGTATTGCGGCCTGTATCTGTCCAATATAGATTTCTGGCCACCCAGTCCACTGCCAGCCCGTCGGTGGTCTTCAGCCCTTGCCCGATCACTGTCTCCATGTTGCTGCCATTCAGATCTGCTCGCCTTGGGGAAGAGCCCAGGGTTGGATGACCAACCAGATCACCAGACTGAAACCCCTTTAATCCATGTTCCCATAATTGTATCCCCACTATACTGTAAGCTCCATAGGGGCAGAGACCAAGCATCTATAAGTGCATTCCTCAGCATCTGGCACAGTAGGTAGGCAAAATATTTGCAGAATTAGTAAATAAATTCTTAGGAGGACAGATGTTTCCTGCTGTAAATAGGGAGCATTTAGGCCCATGTCCTGCCAGAAGAAAGGTTAATAATTCCTCATATACCTTAGGGAAGAGTCAAGGATTGCTAGGGGGTCATTATAAAAAAGGCCGATTTGGCAAAACCTACATGTATATTTTTACAGAAGTCCTATGCCAGGGAATTCGACCTCAGGATGGGGGCATGTCAGATATGTGGGGACTTCTCTAAACACATGCCCACCTGCCCCAGCATGCGATTCTCCAGGGAGAACAAAGGGGAATACCCTTGTTCCTGCACCTAAGAATCTCCGCATGGTAACCCCTCTTGCTGCTGGCAGGGCATCACATTCCCCAGCTGTGTTGGGGTAAAAATATGAAATAAAAATAAAACAAAAAATATAAAAACAACCTTGTGAACAACTACAAGCCTTGGCACTGTCCAGGGCTCCTGCATTACAATACAGATACATGGTTTGCTACATGGCCGATTCTTCAGTGAGTCTTAGAAGATCCTTAGAGCAATCCCAGCACCCAGTGGTAGGGGTAGAAGGCTCCAGTTCCCCAGCCTGATATCATCTGATCTTTTTTATTTGTTTTACAGACTGGGCTTCTATTAGTCTTTAAATAAGCAACCAGAAAACCCCCAAAAGTTTGAAACTCTGTTGTGATAACACTACAAAGTGAACAAGTCAGGATCAGAACTCACTATCCAAGTTGTCAACTCACTGAGTCCATTTAGAGGTCAACACAGATCATAACCTCACCCAGTGGGGACTGGAAGCAGGTCTGTGGCCTCTGGATGTTTCAGGGATACTCATACCTGATAACATCCAGGAACACATCTGTGTAATAGACCTTTCCATCCACACTGTCATAGTCCAGGGAGATGACATTGTTGAGCTCGGGAACGGGGACATGCACGTCTGTGTGGTCACTGGTGTCCAGTGAGATACGCCGGATGGAGCCACGGCTGGAGAAGAGCAGGTAGGTCTCAGGAGAGGGATCACAGGTCTTTCCATCTCCTTTCAGCTGGATGCCAGTGGGGCAGGCACAGGAGAAGCCAGAGGGCCGCGGCAAGCAGAGGTGCGAGCAGCCACCATTTCTCAAGCCACACTTGTTAAAACCTGGTGATGGGAGAGAGGGAAGCACAGGTTCGGACGCCCTGCCTGGAATATTGCCTGAATCTTACAAAGGCTCTCGTTTCTCGTGCCTGATTTTCTGCTGTTCTAAATAACAGGGCTTGGTGCCTGACAGGAACGAGGCAGCAGGGGCAGGAGTGTCCCCAGGGGTCCTGTGAAAGTGACAGCAGGACGCAGTTGTAGTACCAGCCAAGCCCAGAGCGAACACAGCCTGATCCTGTCTCCTTGACTGTAAAGAAACCTCTGTGCTCTCTGATGTTCCGATACCCTCAGTCAGAAAGCCACAGGCTCTGGCTCACAGCCGAGGGTTCTTCTCACCCAGTGGCTGTGCCCGGTCCACAGCCTGGATGTCCATGAGGCCTGGCAGGTTGGACCTCACCAGGATGACGTTACTGCCAGTACCCTTGTCAGCACGGTGGATGCTACGCGTCTGCCAGTCAGTCCAGTAGATATAGGAGCCGAGCAGGGTGAGGCCATATGGGTGCTGCACAGGTGACACCAGCGTGTGACGACTGGCACCATTCAGGTCAGCGACCTCAATTCGCTATAGAAGAAAGAGAGGGTAGGGCTAGCTATCAGTAAACTGGGAGGTCTCAGTGGAGACGCCGAAAAGACCTCTTCCGTCTTCCCGGGCTTCTGAGAAGCGGCAGGAGCGGGACTCTCACCTCGGTGTGGGCATCGGCCCAAAGCAGTTGGGAGCTGGCCTTGTCCACAGTCAGTCCATTGGGCCACCCCAGGTTGCTGCTGATGAGCACGGTTCGGTCTGAGCCATCCATTCCGGACCGCTCTAACTTGGCGTTCTCTCCCCAGTCTGTCCAGTACATGTACCTGGGCAGAGAAGAATGCTAGCTGGTTGTCCCTGTAGCTCCTGGATACTGTAAGTACTTACAATATCCAAACCCTGCGAAAAATATTTTACATGCAAACGGGGGGTTGTTGCTTAATGGGTACAGAGTTTCAGATTTGCAAGATGAAAATGTTCCAGATACCTGCTTCTCAATAATGTGACTATACTTCACACAACTGCTCTGTACACTTAAAAATGGTTGAGATGGCCAATTTATGTTCTGTTTTGTTTTTACCACTACTAAAGAAAAAGTGCTTTTCATGTGTTATCTCACTTAATCCTCACAAGGGTCACAAGGTATGTATTTTCACTGTCATCTCCATTTACAGGTAAAGAAGCTGAAAATCAGAGAGGTTGAACACTGGACTTAAAGTGACAGACGCAGCTAATAAATGAAGAAGGAATTTGAATCCCGGATTTCTGAGTCCAAGGTTCATGCTTTTAACCTCTACACCCTGCTGGGACCCTGAAAGGAGTGACAAGGGAGTGAGACAGCTCAGGGAGGTTGGTCTCTTGCTGTGAAGCATGCTTGCTCTGCACTGTCCACCTTCACCCCATCCGTAGCCCAGCCGAGCTGCCCCACCTGCTGCCCAGAGTCAGAGACAGGCTCTCACCCCATCTCGTGGTACAGTACAATAGCCCGGGGACTGTCAAGATTCTGCCACACCAACACTTTCCGCATGGACCCGTCCAGGTTGCCCACTTCAATCCGGTTGGTTCCAGTGTCTGTCCAGTACACTTTCCGGCCAATGGCATCCACTGCGAGCCCATCTGTGGTTTGCAGCCCTGCAGGAAGTCAAGAGAGCACACTGGCTCCTGCCTTAAAACAGATGGGCTATTTCCCCAGCTCTGAAGCCAGACAGGTGGTCCCTGGGCTGGGAGCAAGGCCCACCTGTGGTGATGATGTCCTCGTGCTGTGAGCCATCCAGACTGGCACGGCTGATCCTGTGCAGCGTGCTGTCTGACCAATATACTTTTCCTGGAAAGGGAAGGCTTGGTTCAGCCTGGACCCTCAACCCCCACAAACGGATATGCACAGCTGACTCAGGGCCTGAGGCACCAGGGCATGTCAGAGAGCCCTGTGCCCCGTAGCAGAGGAAGTCAATGGGAATGCAGAAATGTCAAAGCAAGAGAGCTCTTGGCAGAGAGAGAGGAGAGGGCCAGAAACCATGCCCTCAAAACCAAAGAGAAAGTGCTGTGGAGACAGGGGCTGACACTGCGCCAGAGGGGATGGTGAGCGCCAAGGCTCTTAGCGGGAGGCAGAGGGGTGGGGAAGAAAGGACAGCAGTTGCTATGGGGCAGGGACAGAAGGCCGGGTTGGGGGAGGAGGGCCACACAGACCTTCTTGGGGATCCACTCCAATGGCAATGGTGTTCTTCATGGTAATGTTGATTGGTACCACCACATCGGCAAAATAAGGGATGTCCAAGGACACCATGCGCACGTCTATCCTCCTGGCGAAGATGAGGAAACTGTTCATGCCTGCCCAGGTGGGAGAGAAGGAGAGAGGACAGTCACCCCGCACAGCCAGAAGAGCATTTGGGGTGAGGTGAGGGAAGTTTATGCTCTGGCTCTGTCAGGTTCTAGTTGAGTGGCAACTTATTTCAACTGTGTATCAATTCCATCAACTGTACAAAGGGAACAGTAACAGAGTGGCTGTGGGATTAAAAGAGATCATGGACAGACAACACCGAGTGTCGGGTCTGACACAGTCATAAATGATGGCTCTGTAGTAACATTACAGAAGGACTCTCTTTGAAGGACCCTTTACCATGACGTTTTAGAAACTTCATGTGAAGTCAAAGAGGACTTTTCCCCCAGCCTGGGAGGTACAATTCACAGCTCCTTTCCAACTAAATCCCCCGGGAAGTTAGGGTCCAGTGCAGCCCACCATGCGGCATCCCCTAGGGAGAAACGGTGACTTTCAAAACCTGGGCAGCCAGGTCCTGCTTCTGGCACCCACTGCCGATTAAGGTTGTCACATAGCTTGTGCTGGCCATACATTCACAAAAGTGCCTCATCCGAGGGGAGTACCATTACATCATAGATATCATATAATATATTTTAATATTTGCCATGAGTGATGTGGGGCAGCTGAAACTAAAGTAACTTACTCTAACCAAATCGGGACATAAAGACAACTTTCCAACAGATGTAAGTAGTGCCTGAGAGAGGAGCATCTTTTATGAATATGGATGAAGACACCATAAGAACTAGTTGGAGCCTGCCTCCAATCCTGTCTACCTGCTCCCCTGGGCCTCTGTCCTGGACCTCCCCTCTTTTCTAAAAGCTCTGTCTCTCCCCTAAGCCTCTAGAAGCACCAGGACTCACGGCTTCTCAGACCACACAGGAGTCCATCTACAGGAAAGGAAGAGAGCCACGGCCCCTCCCTGAAACTTCTCTCCAGGCCTCTGATGTTTAGACTTACCTGGTGAACAGGTCTTGCCATCAGGCATCAGGTTGATGCCTGTGGGGCAGGTACAGCTGAAGCCACTGGGATTTGGGGACCGAAGACACAAGTGGCTGCAGCCGCCATTCTCCGTAGCACATGGAGTGGACACTGGGTAGGGAGGAAGGGGGGGGTCAACAATGAGGACTACGGCAGAGGGAGACTGAGAAGAAGCCAGTGTGGGCCAAGGGCTGCTCACCTGGGGGCCGTAGGCGGTGGAAGACATGGATGTCCATGAGGTTCTCTAAATTCTCCTGCAGGGTCTCCCGGTCCAGCCCCGTCAGCCGGTTGGCACTCTGGATACTCTTGGTCTGCCAGTCTGTCCAATAGATGCGCTCTCCATAGAGGGTCAGCCCAAATGGGTGGGGAAGCTGGCTTCCAATCAGCACCTACCAGGGACCCAGCACGTGTGTCATCCCCCAGCAAGGTCAGATAGTACTCATCAGTGGCCAAGAACTTGGGCCAGGAGTCAGAATGCAGCTCTGTCACTACTGCCTGCTGTGTGACCTTGAGCAAGAGCTGGTTATAAAATCTCTCTGAGCCTTGGTCTGCCAATCAATGATATGACTGTGATAATGCCTGGATCCAAGGGTTGTGTGATGATTGTAAACGATCATGTATTATTTACACAATCTCAAAGTATCTCTGCACAAATTGCTTATTAATCACAAAAGGAAAAACAGCAACTTTACAGTGGACACCATCTTAATGATGCAATTAAAATTAGTATCATGCTCGGCTGGGCGTGGCTCAGTGGTTGAGCATCAGCCTGGGATCCAGGAGATTGCAGTTGGATTCCTGTTCAGGGCACATGCCCGGGTTGCGGGCTCAATCCCAAGTAAGGGGGTGTGCGGGAGGCAGCTGATCAATGACTCTCTCATCATTGATGTTTCTATCTCTCCCTCTCCCTCTCCTTTCCTCTCTCTGAAATCAATAAAGATATTTAAAAAAAAAAAAATGAGTATCACAATAATGGGACAAGCCAACATCTGTGCCTACTGATGAGACACACCGGGAACTGAGGACATGACTTCACTGATGTAGTGTGCCTCCCCCAACACATGATCGGAATCTAATCACAAGGAAATACCAGACACACTGAAGAGTATTCTACAAAAGAACTGGCATTTACTCTTTAAAAACACCAAGGCCAAGAAAGACATAAAAGGGCTGAGGAAGTATTCCAGATTAGAGATTGAAGAGATGTGTTTAGATCACACTAAACACAATTGTGATCTGGGATTGCATCCTGGATGAAAAAAGAAAAAAGAAAAAGAAAAGCTATAAAGAATTTCACTGGGGCAAAAGCTATAAAGGACTTCGGTGAAATTCAATATTGACTGTGGGTTAGATAGTACCATTGTATGAATGTTAAATTTCCTGATTTTGACCTTTGTACTGTGGTTATGTAAGGCAATGTCCTTGTTCTTAGGAAATATGCACTGTAATATTTTGGGGTCAAGGGCAGGATGTCTCCAGTTTAATCTCTGATGGTTCAGAAAAATAATAATGTCTGTGAATATGTGTGTGTGTGGACAGAAATAAAGAGAATGAGACTGGTACAACAATGTGGCAAAATGTTAGTTATTGGTTCTTTTGACTTTTCTGTAAGTTTGACATTATACCAAAATAAACAATAACAAAAACAGAGAGAGATCATGGCGCAACTGGTGATTAATTAGTGTTTGTTGTTAATGGTTCTTAGGAAAACTCTCGTGTCCCCAGCCCACAATCCACACGAATCCTTAGCTTCCTTTCATCACCAAGCACAGCACGGCCCCTGGCTCGGCAGGGCTGCCACAGCCTCGGAGAAGCAGCACACGCCGGGTTTCCCCTGGGTGCCCCCTAGCTCCCGTCAGCCACCAGCCAGGGAGTGATGCCCTGGAGGCCGTCAGGGCCGTGGGAGGATGCCTTAGTTCCACCCTTACCTTCCTCTTGCTGCCATCCAGTCCAGCAAATTCAATAGTCTTCATGCCCGCATCAGCCCAGTACAGCCGCTGGGACCCATAGTCAATGGCTAATCCGTTAGGCCAGGTCAGATTGGAAGAGATGATGACCTGGCGGCCCGAGGCATCCATGCCGGCTCGTTCAATCTTGGGGCTTGCACCCCAGTCAGTCCAATACATGTACCTGGGCACAGACAAGGGAGGTCTCAGCCTTCTAGTTAACACCCAGTGGGGATTCAGAGTTTCAGGGTTTCTGTCTACAATAGATTCCCAGCCTCCTGCCCTGGCTCAGAGCTGTCTCTGAAGGTTTTGTGTCTTCTATCACTATCAAAATGCACCTAGGGTCTTAACAAAGGCAGAGCCCATGACTCAAGGAGTGCTCAGCACATAGGGCCTATTTGTAATAAAGAAAGAGGGGCAATGAGGGTGGAGAATAAGAAATGTTTCAACTGCATGAGTTAAATAATTACATTACATTTAACAGAATTCTATATAACCATTAAGAAGACCAATCCATAGACCTATATAATCAGATGGAAAGATATCCAAGATATATAGCCTTGTGAAAAAACTAAGTGGCAAAGCAGTATGACACTGCTGGAAAACCAAAACCACCACCACCGGCAACGATGTATATGTACATGTAGAAGAAAGTCTGGGAAAAATACCCTCAACTGTTAACAAGGGTTATTAGTGGAAAGTGAGATTATAGGGAATCTCTGCTTTCCACAGTTTTGTTTATCTATTTTGTAACAAGGAGTTACTTTTATAAGCAGACAAAAAAAAAAAAAAAAAAAA